TAGGAGATAAGGGGAGAAGACGAGAACTAAGGGAACTTGACTAACGTGGTGCATGCAGAAATCAAGAGCGAGGAGCGGGAGCAGGTAACGAGAAATGGCTAGGCGTATGACACTTTGGGAAACTCGGCCGCGAGGGATCTTGCCGTCACATTTCTTGGATAGAAGGGTGGAGGTTAGCCTGCCCTCCAGGGGCGGGGTGTATAATCCGGTGATGGACTGGGTTGGGGTAGAACTGGTAGAGGACACGGTGTACCTGGTGGTGAAACTAGAATGGCGCGCAAGGGGTGAGTTTGGGGGCACCAACCTGGAATTGCCAGGACGGGTGCGCGCGACAGGGTCCCTATTCTTGTCAGATGCGGGATGGCGGACCTTCGGGGTGGCCTTGGCGGGATGGCGGTGACCCCGTACGGATGTTTGACCGGGCATGGCAGGTGACCTGGAGGGAAGGGTTTGCGTTCGCCAACCCGGACCAGGATGACGTGACGGCGACCGTCCGGGTGGTCGAGGTAGGAGCTAGTATCTTGTCTTATGAAAATGTGCGCATGGTCTAGCCACCCTTTTTGCTTGAGCGAATGGGAGGGGTAGAACTTGCTGAGATGGCAGTGATAGCCCTGGGTAGGTTGAGTTTTAGTAACATGACCATCTATCGAGAATACTACCGAGCCTTTCTGGAACTAGGGCCGTTCGATGAGGAGCAGGAGTATGAGGTGCTAAACATTCTACAAGCCGTAGTGGGCACTAGACCTGGAATACAAACGGTAACCGAGGAAGTCGTGTGGGAGATAGCTAGGCGCGAGATAGGATGCGGGCTGACGTATGTGGACGACGTCCGCCGGCTGTTCGAGGGGGAAGAAGAATAGGAGGGCAGAAAAGAAAAGCAAGGGGGAAGGTAGATCAGCGGGATCGGGCTATAAGGGGGCTTGAAGAAAACTAAAAAGAGAGGTTCCTTTTCCCTTTTCCCTTTTTTTATGCGTGGTGTATGCAGGGCGATATTCGCCAACAATGGCGGCAAGACGCGTCCGTACGAACCGGCGGGACATGCACCCGCAACCGCCCATGGAAACCGGAGGCGGATGGGAAGTGTCACTCCCGGCAAGCTACATTGTCCACGGGATAGATACGGAATGGCGGGCTGTGACCCTAGGACGGAATCAGGCTTTCATGCTAGTTGAGTGCCTATGGGGTGGCATGAGATTCGATATATACTGACCTCAGGGTGACAGGGACTCTATATTTCCCAGAAATCGGGTTCAAATGTTGGGAACTGGACTGGCCTTGGGGCATGGGTTGTTACCAGTGTTTCGGAGGGCAGTCAGGGTCCTGAACCGGATAGGCCATGAGGTTAGGGGAAGACGGAATGTGGGATTAAGGACGCGAGTAGAAGTAGGGGGATGGCGAGACTTTAGGGCCCTGCGCTGCCGGGTGCCCCGGTTCATGGTTGATTTGTTTTTTGGGAGCTCGCCCGGGCAAGGGACCTGGTGAATTCAACCGTAATCTGGGAACGCCACTTCTCACCACAGGCCACGGGGATGTTCTATGACGTGGCAGTAAGGCACGGGCCGTTCTGGGGAAATCGGGCGCGAGAATTGCTGGAACTTCTTGAAATTCTAATATTCGGAACCCCCCGTCTGTCGTTTGAGGAATACGAGCCAATAATCATAAGGGAGATCGAGATGGGGGAGAACTATCTCGCAGGGGTGGCAAGACTATTTAAGGAACCGGATGAGAGGGAGAGACCGGAAGAGCCAGCGTAGGAAAGACGCCGGGAAAGATGGTAGAAATAAGAACCAAAGGGAAAGAAAAATAGGTATAAAAGAACCGATTGGATGGCCGCGACCAGGTCTACCATGGGTTGAACACATGCCAGGAAAAGGGGGGGGAGAGACGCCGTTGCAAGAGCAAAAAGGGGTGAAAAATAGGCAATTCTAAAGGCTAAGAGAATTATGTGTGATTGCCAAAAAAAAAAAATTCTTTCTTCCATATCACAGGGCTAGAGGAAGGAAAACATGGCCACGGGAGACGAGTATGGAAGTCAATTGAGGGACGAAAATCAGGACGTAGAGGACGACGTACATCAAGAAGAGCGGGACCTAGGGGATCGGGGGTCGGCAAAGTCACTAGGAAACAGGGAGAGGAGCAAGGACGCTGTGCCCGGGGAAGATTCAGGAAAGAGCGGGGGAAGTAAACGGGGGACTCCGGGAACCAAGGAAGTCAGAGACAGGGAGAGTCCGACACATCAGCAGCCCGAGGGGGCGGAGCCGAAAAAGGTCAGACTAACAGATGCACGGAGAAAGCTAGCCGAAGTAGAGAGACGCACGGCAGAATACAGGGCAAAACTATTGGAAGAGATCATGAACGATGCCGAGAAAAATGT